CCTTGAGAGTGGAAGCTTCGTGGAGGCGGGGCCGGGGGACGCTAGCGGGACCTAGTGAAGGCGAGCCCCGAGCCTCCGGGGGGTTCCAGTTTTTGAGGGGCGTGGCCTAGTTGGTTGGGGTTAGTGAGGAGCGCCTGGCCCGGCCTCATTGATAACGGGCTTTGGTTGGGAGAGCGGGGCCTCTCCTCTCATTGAACCGCAATCTCCAAACCAGCTCCCCCCGTAGTGACCGCCCTGCACTCCGCGCCCGCCTTCCTGAGGGGCCCCGCCCGCCTCCAGTGTCTAGTCTTCGCCTCCCCGGCCCCAGAAACCGTGGTAAGGAAATGCCCCTGCTCCCGTGACCCATCCAGCCGTGATCCCGGACTTCCCAGCCGGACTCCCCAAACTGCGTGACTATCTCTGACTTGCCCGACAGCTTGCCCGCCTCCTCCCTCCCTCCCCAGTCTCCTCCGACCTCCTTTTGTGCCCCAAGGTCTGGTCCTGGGATGAAGGCTTCCTGGAGAAGGGGTCGCGGGGTCGGTTCCTGGTGGAGACGTTCCCAGCCCCGGAGGGCCGAGATGGACAGGGTCCAGGCCTGATCTCTGTGCTACACATTTCGGGAACCCAGGAGTCTGACTTTAGCCGCGGCTTCAACTGCAGTGCCCGTAACCGGTTGGGTGAGGGAGGTACCTGGGTCAGCCTGGGCCGTAGAGGTGAGACCTGGAGCCTGCAGATCCCCAAATCTGAGGCCCCCAACCCCCAAAAGGCCACAACCCACAAACCGAGAACCTCCAAATGCAGAGACCCCTAAACCTTGGGAACCTCAAAACTATAAGTACCTTGAATCTTGAGACCCCCCCAAAAATAAATTCCCTCAAATACAGAACCCTAAACTGAGACACCCCTCACATTCCGGTGCCCCAAAGATGGGAATCTTCAAAGTAAAATTTCCTCAAGTTCTAAGACTCCCTAAAGCCAGGGAGTTTACCCGTGGAACCCCAATTTCATGAGCCCTTAAGCCCAGGGTACTACATACCTTGGGTATCCCCAAACCTGGTGACTTTTTGAACCCAGAGATCCCAACCCAAGCCCCAAGCCCCCCATTCCCCAGTTCCTCCTCAGCTGTCCACTCAGCTTCCTCAGACCATCCTCTCTTGTCCCTGCAGACTTGCTGCCTACTGTGCGGATTGTGGCTGGAGTGGCCTCCTCGGCCATGACTCTCCTCATGATCATCACTGGGGTGGCCCTCTGCTGCTGGTGCCAAGGCAAGGGTCAGTACCGGGGCCCTACCCCAATGCTCCCCCCCACAAGCACACACTCGCCCTGCTCACTGACAGGCCTGGCCTCGGGACCTAGCCCCAGTGCTGCCTCTCCAGGCCCTGGTGGGACTTGGCTCAGCTTAGGCCCTGGTTCCTCCCTGAAGCCCTAACTCCACTTCCTCAAGGTCACACTCCTTGCCCTCCCAAACCAGGGCTCTCATTGGTTCCTAGCCTCCTAACCACACACACACACACACACACACACACACACACA